AATATGTTCTTTTAACTCTCCATGAATGAATGCAGTCTTGATATCAAGTTGCTCTAACTCCAAATCCAACAAAAATGACCTATCCTAGACTAAAAACCACATGAACAAGAAAAATAAAAAGTTTATTCCTTGGTTAGCTAAATGTAGTAACATTATTCTGAAAGTGTTAATGCACTATGTTAAAAATTACTTCTTGGTTAGAAATAAAAACCAAAAAAGTAATAAAAATTACTTTTTTTTACCAGACCACCACAATCACAAATCTGAAAAAATAAATAAACAGGTAAATTTTGAACCTTAAGTATTTTGCAATTTTTTTATGATCATTTTAACTCTTGAAAGATCATCACATCTACATTGAAGCTTTAAGGAACGGACATGGAAATGGATTTAAATTAATTGGGGAGGTGTTTCAGGTCCTAAATCCCCTATAACTAAAGTGGACACATGAGTCAACCGGATCACCAACATAATTTTCCTATACGAAACAAAATAGGGTAGGATTTAGGTGCGTCCTGATGTGATTATTATAGCGACTCCTCCCTTCAAAATTCCATTATAGAGATGAATTTTCTATGAAAGAAATGCAATTCATACAATAGCGTTCGGTTTGGATCTGAAACCCAGATTTCGCACCCTATCCTGATCCAGGTATAGGTACAAGATTTGGATCCGACATGTCGGATTTTGATCTAAGATTTGGAGACAAGTGGATCCGATCCACATCCAACTCAGTTATTAAAATATTATATAATATTTTACATTTACATATATGTTATAGTATATTTTTTGTCATATATTATTTTAGAGATATAAAGTAATTTTTTGGATCCAATCGGGGTTCAGTTCCAGATCTGAATCACATGTATACTATTTGGATCTAGTTTTGGATTTGAATATTTTGGATCTGATCGGATCTAGATCTGATTTGACTTGGATCCGGATCCCATATGTACTTTTCATATCCCAATCCGGATCATGGTGGATCTGGACTCCATTTGACCCATTCTCATTCCCATACCCATTCTCATTCCCATCATTTAGTCCACTGCGATCATGAATTTCCCCAAAAAAAAAAACCATGAACTATGTATTTTGAACCTTAAAAATGAATTCTTTTTTTTTTTTTAAACCGTTTGTTTTAGTTCTTGAGTAGCATCAATGTGCATTGTTCTTGAAGTCCAAATTCAAATTCATGGATTCTAACGCGAAACATATTATTAGTTATTTGAGATCTGAATTGGATCCTAACCCTTAAATATCATAATGGATGTATGAGTCGTCCGACTCAATTCTCTTAATCATCTTGGATGAAAGATGTCATCGGGCCATAACATGACATCTAAAGTTCCATTCTTACTCGTTAATCATGTAATAAAAAAAACTTTATTTTCTTTTTTTTTCTATAAAAAACGTAATAAAAATACTTCCCAATAAAATACTAAGGCAACGCTCCACATGGGCATGTTTGTTGAAGATCCAATAGAACAAAGGTGATCTTGACTCTTAGGTGACCAATTACTCAAGTCATATAAAATGACAGGAAAGATTTGTTCATATTCATAATACAAGTCTACAACGTGCAATGCACTCACACATATATTTTTTAGGGTTTCTTTATCTGGAATCATATCTCTAAGGTATAAGGTAATCCACTATTTTCACTTTTGAAACTTGATGGTTGAGGATATTCCCACCATGTTATCATTTGGGGTTTCCTTCCCTTTTGGAAATTGAGGCTCAAACCTTTTTTATTTTATAGTATTTTGACAATGGAATTTATCAAAAATATTTTTTTACCATTTTGAAAAAGGAATTCATTTTTCATGTATTTAATATTCTATCTTATTTCTACTATTCCAATTCAAATCATGTATATTTAGATGGAAATTTTAAAATTAAATCAGAATATATTGGTGAAAGGTTAACTAGCTAATACCGCTGTGTTTTCAGACAAATTCCCCATTTGAAAATGGTTTATTATAAGTTATATTTTAAGTTCGAGTTCTCTTTTTAAACATTTTTCATTGCCAAATTATTCTAGTTCACGCATTCAATGTCTGAACCACCGAAAAAAAAAAAAAAACATCTAGAACATTAAATGTCTAAACCCATTTTTTTAGATGAACGATAGGTTTCAACATCCAATATTCGAACCGCTTTTTTCTTTAAAAGAAGCCTGAATGTCTTAATCAGAAAACTACTCCAAGAAAATTACGGAAAAAAAAAAAGTGAGCTGAACATAAGAGTACTCTTGTAAAGCCATTTTTAAATACCATATAAAGGGTTTTTAACGTAAATTCCTCCATCCTTTTCAAATATCACATAACAAAACGGTTTTCAACATAAATTTCCCTTTCCTTTAAAACCAAGCTTTAAGTCCGTTTTATTTTATTTTACGGGATGTTATAACGCCGTATACCAAGAAGTACGATTACGGTTGTCCTCCGACAATGCCACATGCTCTGTGGGGCGCACTATATATATCCCTTCAGTAAAAGTCGCCATCGTGGCAAATTCTTACTGGTTCGAAAATTAGCCCCAAGTAAAAAAAAGAGAAATTTGCTCTTATACCTATTTAAAAAGGGTGCGATTTGTATAGTGCTAACGCTCTAAACAAACCTACAAATAGGGGCGATAAATGTGGTTTCAATATTTAAAATCTTTGTGATAGCTTTAAAATATATTTTCACTTTTAATTATAAAATTGATAGCCTTAAAATATATTTTCACTTTTAATTATAAAATTGAAGCTTCAAAAATAGTTTAGATCGAGCATATCGACGAAAATTTGAAGATCTTGAAAATTGATAGTCCAAAAATACATTATAAGATGCACTATTTACAAAACTTGAAATCTATTTCTTTCTCATGTTTATGCATTTTGATGTCGAGATGATTAACTTGAGGATATTTTGACATCAAAACAACCTTTTCTAGTAAAATTTTTGATGTGAGCTCTAATTTAATCATTTAGAGCCTCAACTCTCTATAAACTTTTTTCAAAGTATTTTTTATCTATAAGTATTTAGATAATTAATTTGAGATAAAATATAATTTTAATAAAAAATAAATATTTATTAACTATAATAGATAATGACATGGGATCAGTGTGAAGAAATTACATCCCCAAAATTTAAATTCCTAAAAGATACTTTGAGATATGATATTGCCCGATAAAAGTATTTAACTTTTTAGAATGTTCATATTTTTAAGGTCTAATCACCATAGTAGCGCGTACGACACAAAGCAAGGGCAATCCGTTGTCCTATCCCCATTATGTACAGTGGAGATTAACCCATATGATTGTTTTTTTATATGCTTGGTGGTTGTTTATCAGTATAGAAAGCATAAATGAAGAGTTATCATGGTCATGATTATTGGGATCTTTGTCCAACCCAATCTTATTTCTCACTTAAAAGAAATAAAAATGCAACCATTCAGCAGCAATGCATAACATAAATTTTCTTATTTCTCAGTTAAAGGAAGAAAAATTATAAAGGAAAGGAAATTCTAAGACAACAACCACCATTAGCTCTCAAATATGAATATGAATTTGAATCGTTGGAAGTGCACCATTCGCAGAGTTCAAAATCTGAGAAAATTTTTCTTGCATCAGAAATGACACTCTTGGCCCCCCTATTTTACATTTGAGGGTGTGGTTTATGACTTTGTTCAAAGGTAAACATAGTACATAATCTTATTTCTTCATGCACTCTAGAATGATAATAAATCTCTTTTCGGATAATGCATAGCTAGGTTGAAGGAGATACATTTCTGAAATTAAAGTTCCCAAATAATAACTCTAAATAAGATATGAAAAAGTACACTGTGACATCATTTACTTTTGGTATAAGGTGGACCATAATTAATATTGACTATAGGATGTGAAATTGGTGGCTGGATTAACTCTAATGACCAAGCGTAAAATTCTAAAGAAACTTTCTCGAACTTTGTAGCACTCAAGCTATCAGATTTCATATCGGATGATTATGAGTAATTGTGACCTTTTTGTACCTAAGGTAAATGATCTTATTAAGGTTCCGACCTTATACTATAAAAGTAAGGTGCACCTCAAAAATCCAATAGACAATAATTTTTCAAAGTTGGAAAAATTTCTAATTGATCATCTCAACCTGTAGGTATATAAATAAAAAAGATTTTGAACTTTAAAAATAGTATATGTTATAACAAGTTACTTAGATTGTCTATTTTTCAAGATTTTTAAATGTTTATAAATATGCTCAATATATATTATTTTTTATATCTTAAATTTGATAATAAAGGTTCAACATCGATTTTTAATTTTCAACCCAAGAACTATATCCTCTCACAAAATTTAGAGATTTGTCTTACTTTATAATATATTTTATACTAGGGTGCGGTTTGTATAAAGCCTAGGCTCTAAACAATCAAATTAGATCCTAACTTCAAATAGTGGCGAGAAATGTGGTTTTAATATTGGAAATCTTTATGATAGCCTTAAAGTATATTTTCATATTTATTTATAAAGTTTAAAGCTTCAAAAATAATGTAGATATTGAAAATCTTGAAAATTGACCGTCTAAAAATGAGTTACAAAATACACTATTTTCAAAACTTGCCATCTATTTTTTCTCATGTCTATACATCTTGATGTCGAGATGATCAATTTGAAGATATTTGAGCATCTAAACAGCCTCTTTTAAAAATAAAAAAAATTGAAAGTAGGTTCCAATTTGATTGTTTAGAGCCTTGGCTCTATATAAACAAACATTTCCCTTTATGGTGTGAGATGGGCACCTCATACAAAACTCACCAAGATGCCTTAAGCTCGAATAGCGGAGCTCGCACACTTTTATCCAAATTTGTAAAACAACTGGAAATGGTTAAATAAAAAAAAAAACCCCAAAAGGTAAGCAGCACCTTCGATATATCGATGCGGAATTAGGGGTATTAATGGAAATAGAGTCAGTGGTGGATATAACCAGCAGTCACAATCGATTGGTTCCCGAGAAAAGGACTTCCCATCAACAGCGAATGCCTCAGCAGTGGCTAACTCTCGTCTCCATCTTTTCTCTCTCTAAAATTACCTCTACATCTCTCTCTCTCTCTCTAAAAATCCCACTACCTTGCTCCTCTCTCTCTCTAACAATGCCATTATCAAGTACTGTTTTCTCCCACTTCTCTCTCTCTAAACGCCTGTTACATATCCTCGCACATGGTAAATCCGTTTTCTCTCACATCATTTTATATAATGACAATGCTCTGTGATCACTCATCATCTCTCTCTAAAACATGCCTCTGCATTTCCTCTGTTCTCTCTCTGCAACAATGCATATACATATCCTAACTTGATAAAACGCTCAAAGTCAGTTCTCCGTAAATGTATCATCCCTCTCTCTACTGTTATACAGGAGAAAGTGACAATTTTTTGTTTCGGGGATCTCTTTGATAGATGTGTTTTTGGTTCCTCTTCAGTCGCAGATCCTCAGTTTCTCCACTATTTCTTCTCAAAATTGTGCTTTCTCTCTCTAAGTTTGGGTTTCAAAGTTTACAAACTGTGGATGATATAGCTCGAATAACTGCTGAATTTCAGTGAAAATGGAGAAATTGTCTTGGAATTTTGTGGTAGAGCCTTACAAAGAGGAATTTCAATTGATTTTAGGGCTTCGTTGTACAAAAGGAAGATGAAGATGCAATCAGGTAAAAGAGTATTAGCTTTTTCTTTATGAGAGCGTCTGGTTATCTTCAAAGTTCAGGCACATAGTTTGTGGATTTAGTTCAGATTTGCAGTTTCTACAAATGCGTAGAGGCTCTAGTATACTGAATGAAAGTAAATTAGGGATTTCTAAGTGAGAACAACTGATTTTCTTCAATTCTTTGTAGAATTGTGCTCAGAGGTTAAACTTTCTTATTTATGGTTTGTATTCTGTGGGTTTGCTGATGATGTGAATCTGTATATGACGAAATTATAGCAATCTAACAATTGGTAGTTCCCAAAAGATATGTGAGATCAGATCCTTTTGACTGTGTCGTTGAAACTTTATAATTGTACACTCAGAGCAAAGATGTTATCCAAACCTGAGTTTGATTTCATCAACATAGAAGTTCATTGTTCAAAACAACAACAAAAAAAAGGAAAAAAAATGAATAGTCATATTTTTTTGATTTTAGAGGATTATGTAAATGAGGTCCTTACTTTTTGTATATGAAGTTGAGACCTTTGGAATAGTAATTCCTGAAAGGATTTGCCATCCAAACTCGGACTTATATGTGTATCCACAAACACTGGTTTCCAATGAAAGGGAATTTGTGGATTTTCAATTGATTAGCAGTTTCTCTTTGATATCTGTGAGAACTTATATGTATAAGAATGGATTTCCAAATTATAAGGTAATTTGTCAGCCAATTTGATTTGATTTGTAAAGTGTTCAAAGGTGATGGATACAGGGTACATACATAAGAGAACTGATTTATCTCCATAGATATGGGTTTCTTGAGCTATTTCTAGCCATTTTTGTATTATTGTGTGTGTGTGTGTATATATATATATATATATATATATAGTGTGTGTGTGTGTGTGTGCACGTGCGTCCGTCTGCGTCTGTGTGTGTGTGTGTTTTCTCAGCTTTCTGCTTGGTCTTCTTCTTGTTGAGAGTTCCAAGATTTGGTTTACCACCAGTTATTATGGTCATCTGCCCATGAAACTCAGCACAAAACTGTTTGAAATTGCGGAGCATTTGTCTTGTAAATGATATTATGAATTTGTCAAACGAGCTATGAGGCAATTACCAATATTTGGTTTGCAGTTGAAGAGGTCAACTTTGTAAAGTAATTGCCATACTTCTGGTTCATTCCACGAAGATCCCTGTCTGGATCTGGTGTTCACTCAAATTCTGTATTTGTAAGGCGATTTGGAGCTCACATGTCACAGATATCGCTTTTAGACAGTTGGGTTGCACATCAATGAAGAAGCTGTACTGTTTTAAGCCAAATTCGAATGGTGGCAAGCCCAAAGGGCTCGTGTCATCGAAGGAGTATAAGAGATTGATATCTTGGTCTAAATATTTGGTGTCACCGAAGGAAGGAGAGGTAAAAGAAGAGAGAACTGAGGAATGGAGTGCTGATATGTCTCAGTTGCTCATAGGGAACAGGTTCGCTTCAGGTAGACACAGTAGGATTTACCATGGCATATACAAGCAACAAGATGTGGCTATAAAGCTTTTAAGTCAGCCTGCTGAGGATGATAAGTTGGCTGCTTCTTTGGAGCGGCAGTTTGCCTCTGAGGTTTCACTGCTATTCCAACAAAACCATCCTAATATTATCAACGTAAGCTCCTTATCCAATTTTAAAATATTTTTGTCCAAGAGTTCTATATTGAAATAGAGAATATTTCCTGGGGATTGTTAACTTCTTTTTTATAGCCTTATTTAGAGTGGATGTTTGTTCTGTTCCTTTTCTCTTTGCTAGCTCAAATTGGATTCACGCTATACAGTTTCAGAAATTGCTGTTCATCTTAAGCTTTATACAATGTTTGGCTTGTTCATGTAATGTAAGTCTTTTGTTTGTTGAATGTGAGCTGGTTAGTTGCCAGTATGTAGTTTTTAGCACTGTAATCCTTCTTGAGCTTTATACAATATTTGGCTAGTGCATATTATCTTCTTCTTTTTTTTCCCTTGCTGAAAGTGGATTACACAGTTCTTCTGACCTGTATTCTTTTGTGAAGCCCATGTGTAAACCAATCTCAAAGCCTTTAATCTTATGATTCTTTATTAAAGTAGGAGATGTGCTACTGCATATTGAAATTCTTCCCACGACTTCTAAATGAAATGACTTTTCGTGGACTACCAATTTGTGTAATGTCATCTTTTTTTACAGTTTTTTGGGCTATCAACTTGGTTTGAAGTCGTTTTCTTTTATCACTCAAAACAGTTTGAAACTCTAATTTTGTACACATTATACTTGCCCCATGTAGTTTATTGCAGCTTGCAAGAAGCCACCAGTATTCTGCATAATCACAGAGTATTTGGCAGGGGGCTCATTGAGAAAGTTTCTCCACAAACAAGAGCCCTACTCACTTCCCATGAAACTTGTCCTGAAATTTGCTCTTGACATTGCAAGGGGAATGCAGTATCTTCATTCTCAAGGGATACTACACAGGGATCTCAAGTCTGAGAACTTATTGCTTGGGGATGACATGTGTGTAAAGGTGGCAGATTTTGGAATTTCATGCTTAGAATCTGAATGTGATAGCATGAAGGGATTCATGGGCACTTATCGATGGATGGCACCTGAAATGATCAAGGAAAAGAATCATACAAGGAAGGTTGATGTGTATAGTTTTGGAATTGTCGTTTGGGAGCTTCTCACATCATTAACACCGTTCCATGACATGACTCCTGTACAGGCTGCTTTTGCAGTTTCCCAAAAGGTATGGCCATATTCTTTTTAATTTTTCTTGATAATTAGTTTTTTATTAACGAACTTTTAATGGGTTTTTGAGAATGGGGTTGGGATTGTGGTGGTAAGTATCACCTGAGCCCAGTTCAAGGTTATGACCTCCATTCTCACTAACACTTTAAAAAAATTGACTCTTATTCAGTGAACAGTTGAGATCATATAGGAGATAAGTGAAAAGATCTAAGAGTGAATCGCTCTGTCCGATTTGACATATTGCTCATATAAGGGGCATACTCATGAATATCAGGAATTTCTTTCCCATAAAGTCCGGAATGAAAAGCTTGATCCTTTGTTACTATTGAACAAAAATGATTACATTTCCTCTTTTCCTGAGACCAGCTATACTGAATATTAGACTGAAGAAGATAAATTCTAAATAAGGAAAGAACAATGAATACCTCCAAATAACTTAGAATCTTTTTCTTGTGTTGTAAATTACCTTATTTATTCTCCCTATTGATATATAATCCACCACAATGAATTTTATATAAAGCTCAGAAGCATGAAATGGTAGTTAGAGCAGGAGTGCGATATATAGAGCAGTTTCCAAACGACACGATGGTTTAGACTTCAGGATGTCCATGCACTGTCAAATAATACAGATACATGCTTTTGTATAACTTTGTGCTATAACAAAGGAAAAAATGGAAATGGAAGGAGATGTTCTTATGGAATTTAGCTTACGTAGTCACTATATATGTTTTTCATCAATGCATTTCTTGAAAAGCCGTGGAGGAAAAACCTACAAAGCAAGATTAGGGCAAGGTCTTGATTAGTTAAGTATTGACGATGGCAACACTATGTCCCAACGTTCAAAAAGGTGGAGGCAACGACCTAGGCGGGCGCCCAGATACCTAGGTGGCCTGCAAAATGGAGGGGTCCCCGCCCCCAGGTTTTTGGGTCTTGAAGTATCTTTTTTTGTTTAATAAACATAGTTTTGTAGTTTTTTTTGTATAATTTTATTGTACAGAATTACATATCAAACTTAAACATACATGACTTTAAATTGTCAATTGCATAGCTAAAAGTACCATGAAAGGAATGAATTAGAAGCCTTAACTAGCAAATATTAATTGTCCATTACACTTATCCCAAAGCTTACTATATCCATTACATCTCACAACAAACAACTACCACAAAAAAAGTCAACTCACAACTTGGAGGGCATAAACTAATTAATGTAGTCTACAAGATAACAAATATGAGGTGGAGTTTCATGCTCGAGAAAATAACCTAAAACAATATTAAAAACTCAAGATAAAATCTACACATCAATATTGCAATGATATAAAGCACAAAACTGAAAAGACAAATTACAAAATGGTTTGTGAGCGATAGATTTTTTCCATTGATCTTATTTCTGAATAAAAAAATCACAAATAATATCAAGGCAAAACCTACTCATCATTAAAAATCATAACTCATGCAATATATATATAGAGAGAGAGAGAGAGAGAGAGAGAGAGAAGAAAAACAAAAAAAGGAAGGAAATAAACAAAATTAAAATACTATTT